GGAGCAATGTATTTTTTTCCCTTGCAGTTTTTATTATCGATGGCGCCCATCACATGTTACCTAGCAAATAAAGCTGGGGGGCCAATGGGCTCTTCCTGCCCTCCGCGCCCTTGCTCAGACCAGACCCATCTCCCAACCTTTATTTACAACTACAAGCACTTATTAAATGTGTAAAACGTTGTAACTTATTAAAGGTCCCATGTCATGCTTTTCTGGTTATTTACCCGTCCCCTTGTGTGCTATGTAGCTTTTTCTGCATGTAAACGGTCTGCAGAGTCACCAAACCCTCAAAGTGCACCCTGTAGCGAGTAAAACTCTAACACCGAAAATAGCACAATATAAATGTATTTTAGTAGACCTCAAACAATGGAATTATGATCAGTAGACATGGCCATGACATGGGACCTTTAACTAACTGTGGTTTTTTGAAGTGTATTTGCCGTTGGTTATTTAAGATTCTTTATATACTGCAATTATTACGTTTTTTTTAAATAAAATAATGATTTTTAGGTGGATGTAACTTTATTACCTACAGTGGTTTTGTGATCACTGGATTTCAACACATCTGACATCCATTCAGCTCCAGCTAATTGAAGTATCAGCCTAAGCATCCCAACTAAATAAAGTGATTCTGGGACTGGTTCCCATGAGTGTGAGTGTTTTGTATTCATAAAACAAGGTATTTATATTTTTTGTAAAAAAAACATTTATTTTATATTTCTATGTACACTACATTCTTTGATGGAATAACAATAATACAGGGACCAAATAATAAAGGCAGTCATTCTTGCCAAGCAGGTTTGAGAAATACATTTATAAAATCAGCTCACTGCCTATCATTTAACTGGAATAACTTTACAAGTAAAAATTATTGTAAAAAGTTTAGAATCTGAAAACACCAAAGTATGCACGCACATTTGACCTTCCCCCGCCCCTGTCATGTTAACAGTGACGAATGCTGAACATTTGAGTTTTTCATCGAATACAAACTGGTGGTGATTGAAGTCAGACGTCTTCATCGTAGACCAACTTGACGAACACCTTGTCTTCAAGCGCCTCGTTCTGTCTGTAGACGTACATGGGCGTGTTGTCTGCCGACGGGCTGGTTTCCCCTCCCTCTGCTCCTCACTCCTCTCTGCATCCTCCTCTGAGATCAGGTCAGCGTAGGAGGTCACGCAGAGGTCGTGCTCCTGGAGAGACGCCGGGGTATCGGAGGGAGGATCTCTCGATTCGCACCGAGCGTCTGACTGGAGTGAAGAAGCGAACCTCCCTGGCCGTTCACCCTCACCGGTTCCTTCCGTTGGCTCGGAGGGCCACTGAGGAAAAGAACAACATAATCCTGAATTTCAGTGCATTTGACATTGACAATGAAATAGGTTGCGTTTCATTGTACGGTTTTTTTTTAATTTACAGGGACTGCTTAAACAACCAAGCAGCTTCTAAACATCAGATTTTAAAACAAAAAGAGGTTTACAAAACATGAAACACCATTAAAGATTTTTGGGGGTTTTAGATAGATAAGTACTTTATTGATCCCAATTTGGGAAATGTTTGCGTTGCAGCAGCATAAAAAACAAGGCAATGTACATAAGAGAAATTAAGACACTAGAAATAAACAATCCAAAATATTTCTGAAATAGAAATAGAAATAGCATTAAAAAATGTGGAAAATATACACGTGGAAATACAAATTTCCAGTAACAAAATATAATGCAGGATATTATATACATAATTGTGCTTTAGTTTAGTTATATATATTATTTATTGTCCAAGAGATGATTATTTGGAACCGTTGTTACGAAAAGTTACAGCTTTTCCTGTTTCTGTCGGAGAGAGAGGGGAGTTGGTCCCAAAGCCTGACGCTGTATTTACACCCCTCCCCCTAAAGGAGGGAGCCTCACTCAGCTCTGAGTGAGACCACAGACAGAGTGACAGTTGGAAGGGGGCAGTTCGTATTGGGTTCCAAACCTTTTACTATGTCTTGTTTGAAAATGTATGGATATATCGTCCGGCCTTACTTTCTTTTGCACCTAAAGCCACTTCACAAGATCATGCTGGCCCAGAATCAGCTTTCTCCTTATCCAGCCCTTTCCAAGTCTGCATATCATTCACTCACTTGTGAATGAGTCTACTGTTGCCCACTTTTAAAACTAAAAAATATATGCATGTTAATGAGACTGTTGGGAAAGACAAGATTTAGATGAGACACGACAGTCACTCCCTTCTTCAGGGCGAAATCACTTTCATTTCTCTGAAAGTCATGTAGAAATGTTTTCTTTTGTCTTTGAGCTGACTCTAAACCAACTGCCAGTAACAGCCATGTGTGCATTCCCTTTGAAGAGCCTCATCACAAAGAGAAATGACCCGGGCTGTCACTATAATTCCATTATCACCCGATCTCTTCCTCCACGCCACCTATCCATTGGCATATCTGACAGGTGCCAAGGAGACGTCAGACAAGCACGTAGAGCAGGGCTAGCCAACACGTTGCCCGCGGGGCAACGTGAGTCGCCCGCGGGGCATGTTCTAAAAATAGCTCGCCAAGCAAATCCAAAATGTATAAAATACACAAAACAAAAAGGAAATGTAATTAAAAGAATCTACCCTATGCATAAACGAAACCTAAATCATAGCGAACTCTATTTAGTTACTACAACTCTATATCTATCTAACACCCCTCCTCCCCCCACCCCCACAATGAATATCGACCAATCACGTTCTTGCTTGATTTGCGGGACCAGCGTTGCAGTCGGGAAGAAAAGCACCTCCCGCTGATTTTCCTTCTGGCAGATAATCTACACAACCACATCAGCCCCGTTGAGCAGCCTATCGTGCCAGCCTATACAACACATGGGGGGCAGAGTTTTACTGTGTGTGTTGCAACTTGCATATATATGTATTGCACTTGACGCACACACACGCATGGCGTAATTTCCACCTGTGACAGGGGGGAATGTCCCCCGCCTCTTTTCGAAATTCCGTTTGTGTCCCCCCACTTACAAATATGTTTATTATTATATTTTTTTAACGCAAGCCGTCATCGCCACGGAGGAGCACACAGCCCTCAGTGAGCGAGCGAGACAGAGGGAGAGCGAGAGAGAGAGCTAGGAAGGGAGGCAGGGAGGGAGAGAGAGAGAGAGGGGGAGAGAGAGCGAGCGAGAGAGCTAGGGAGGGAGGGAGAGAGAGAGAGAGCTAGGGAGAGCACACCTTTATCTATTTAATATAGATAAAGTAAGAAATCATCCCAATGTGTATAGGACAGTAAAAAAAACAAAAAACAGTTTGAAAGGAGAGTGATTAGTAAAATAAGCATAAATAAAAGAAAGAATGCTAACTAGGTAACATAAGATAAGAATAAACCAGTTTAAATGATTTGTTATTGGTTGTGATCATATTCTAAAGATGTTTGGATTATTGAAAAGTATACAGCTCCCTTTCATCTGAGTGTTGAGAGCTGTTTCCATCAATTCATGATGTGCTCAAAGTGCTCCAGATTGATGCATTTCACTTCAACATTTAAAATTAATCTTCCCGGGGGTGCATGCCCCTAGAGGAGGTGAGGACCCCCCTAGAGGAGGTTGAGGACCCCCCTAGAGGATGTGAGGTCCACCCCCAAATAAAGCAGGTTAAAATAATTAAATTGCATGCATGTTCTTTTAGTAAACACTGACAACGGGTCCCACAGACCCAAACAGCACACAAAGGTTAAAGGTCAGCATATCATAATGTTAAAATGTGCTAAATATATACACTGCAAAAAACAAAAAAAGAGGAGTAAAAGTAGCCCCCGACTTGTTTTATTTTTTTAAAGTAGCCCTCACCCTAAAAAAGGTTGGTGACCCCTGACGTAGAGCATCGGGGCAAGCAAAGGCATGGCTCAGCACCAGGGGGGCGGGGGGAACAAGGGCACTTTAGAGTGGTGCTCTAAATGTTATCACTTTGTCTTGAGGGCAATGTTTTTATAAAAGGTATTTTGGTTAGAATCCTGAAATACAATCTGTAGTCAACACAAGCTTAAGAGATGTTCACGTTTTGTTCAAAGTCATAAAAGGGGTCAGTAGTAATGCTCCACAGCGTTTCTGAAAGTCAAAATTATGATTCCCACATACCCAGGCGTTTGCTGTGATCTTGTACTTGACCACCGATGAGTCTCCTCTCTCTCCAAAGATAAGGGCTCTGACAGGTTGAGGAGTCATCGGGATGTCGATACTCTCAGGAGTGCCTTCGTTTGTTGGAATTTGGTCCTCCTCTCTCTCATTCGCTTCAGAAAAAAATGAAAATTTGAATTTATTTTCAACAAAAGTACTTAATGTTAGGATACTTAAAAAAAGGCACAAGCAACATGTCTGTAGTGCAAGTTTACACTGCATTAATATTACAATACAGATTCAGATTTGGAGGATGTAGTTTCTGATTGATTTTGCTTTTATTATCTAGTCTGCACTAACTGATATCAATTGACAGGTTTGACTGAAGTTCATAGTCCTATTTCTCAGACAGCAATATGTTCTGCTCCAGAAAAGTCAGCAGAAGGAAGATTAAATTGATAAAGCTTTGGCCGAATTTAACACTATTGTTAATTCTGTGTTATAGTTTCTTTGACCGTCTTGAAAAAGACTGCCGTGGCGCTTACATTTTGTGGCATGTGCCTTTACTGTAATAACAGATGTGTTTGGCTATATCAACATAATGGTAACAATACAATAAACAACAGTTTTCTAATAATGTCAAACTAAGCCGCCCCATCGTGAAACCAAAATACATGAAAAACATATATTTTTGATAAAACACACAGCCGTGCTACATGGGTGAATTGAGAGAGACACAATATATGGAACGTACGAGACGATAATCAGCTGCATACATCATGAGGCCAAATGATCTACTGATTGAAATGTGTGCAATGTAAACAATGCAACACAGCTCATTGATGCTATCATAAATAATATGAATGGTGAAAAACACACAGTGGTTACAAACAAGGCTCATTTGCCAACTACCTTGGATCTCTTCCTTTCTCTTCAGAATCTCAAACACCACAGTCCGCAGCTCGTCCACTGGCTACAACAAAATAAAAGCAAAGACACTTAACACAGAGGGATTTTTTATTAATTTCAGACTACAATACATTCACCTTTGATTATGATCACATGCCAACAGATCAAGCTGACAGGAGTAATATCAAAAGCTGAAATATGCAGTGATGGACAGTTCAATCTGTGAATGTTGAAATTCCCTTGCTTTCTAAAAACACACTCAAAAATGTGGACTGAATGGGCTCCAAGCGTTTTAGAGTAAATGATAAGTGCAGAAGTATTGCTTCCAGTGTATCCGCCAGACCAGGGCGGAGAGGGCGTCCAACCTGAGAGCGGGGGGTGGGGTTTACGTCACGTCGTGTCACGTGACTTGAATTTTGAATTGAGCCGTCCCTTAGAGATACTATCTCTTCTCTTTATATAGGCACACACACACACACACACACACACACACACACACACACACACACACACACACACACACACACACACACACACACACACACACACACAACACACACACACACACACACAACACACACACACACACACACACACACACACACACACCACACACACACACACACACACACACACACACACACACACACACACACACACACACACACACACACACACACACACACACACACACACACACAAACACACACACACACACACACACACACACACCACACACACACACACACAACACACACACACACACACAATTTTGAATTGCGCCGTCCCTTATTTTCGTCACAGGACCGCGCTTTGCTGGCGGCGAAAATAATCCCACCAGACTCCTTTGCCCCTGTCCTTGTCCTTTTTCCTTTTCGTCATTTCAAGCGATGAAAACTCTCGATCTTCTCTCAAATGATTTTTTTTTTGGACTCGGCTCGAGTTCAGGGCGTTCCAAGCTGAATAAGAGCGTCAATGACGGCAAGACGCCCCCCTGGCGGAAACGCTGATTGCTTCACAGGGCTCTTGTTTTAAACACAGTGACTAAGAGGTGAATTGCTACCGGAGAGTTTATTAAATCTTATGTGACGAAACATATTTGACCTCAGGCAGTGATTATCCCATGCTTAAAACACTCCAGAGCGGGAGACAGATTATGACGTTATAATTTCACATGTTCCATGGGAATATTCGTAGGAAATTATTGCATGAACTTCTAAACTCAACCAACTAAATAAAAACCAATCACAAAAAGTAGTATTTCTCATAACTCATCCAATGTTTTTCTTTTTTTGCCACAAAATGGTCATAGCTATGTGACATCATTTTACAAGAACCAGACTCTCTGTATTGCTGTAGCCGTGTTTACCTCATTAATCTTCCATTAATAGACAGCAAATCTTGTATCTAACCACCACACTCATTGCCAGTATTGGTACTTAAACAGATCACAATAGGGTCACTACATAAGATTTAATTTGATTATTTTAACTATATGATTGAAAAGTGAATGACAAAAGCCTTCATTTGGATATGAAGAGCAGTTTTATTTAGTAAGTGCTGAAAAAGTGTTTTCAATTTTATAACGATCTTCTAATATATCTTGCATATGCTGACTAGATGTTGCAGTATCAATAAACTCCCACAATGTAATATAAGTTCTGACAAGAGTACTTTGTAAAGCACCTTTCATTGCTAAAAGCAATCCCAAATACTGCTCTCAAGGTGCTCTCCAGAGGGACAACTGTATTCTGTGTATTTATTGGCCTTTCTTTACTTGCAAATATGTTTTTTTTTTTTTTAATACTGCTTGTGTGATGAAATAACATCAGCTGATGGAGAACCCAGAAAAATGGCTGGAAATTTCCAGTGATAGAGTTCTTCTAGATAAAACAAACCGAGGAACGTGTTGAATCGCACTGATGCAAGTGTGAAATGCAATACCGCTCGCCCCCTGATTTTGTTATGTGATAACGATTAGTGCACCTAACCTCAGTGTGTTTTAGGGCTGTCCCGAATACCATTTTTCGGGCTCCGGATATTCGGTAGTAATCAGCAGCGAATATTCGGCACGTGTATTTCAGTGTATTCAAGCAGGGCTCGACAGTAACGGTTGCCATTGGCAACCATTCAGAAAAAATGTCAACCACTTCTTGGCCTTTGGTTGCCATCAGTGGCAACCAGTTTTTAACAAAGAAATAAGGACAGCAAACAGCAAAATGTGCACCCCAAAATAGATAAATGTTAATTATTTGTTGTATTAAGAGTGATATTTAATTATTGTTGTGACCAGTCGGAACCTGATACTCAAGTTGCAGTTAAAATATTGGCATAAAAATATAATCACTTCTATAAAAAGGTAACACATTTTAAATATAGTTAGACATATTAAAGGTTTAATTTCTTCTAATTAGTGTCTACAGTGTGTGCCTATTGAGCTGTTTAGAGCCATGTGGGACAAAACCTGATCATGCCCCTCCCTCTCACTGTCTAATGCCCCTTTCACACCAACGCGTTTTCAGCGCCGGCTCGGAGCTAGAGCCTGAAAAGTACCGTTTTTTCCTGTTCACACCGCAGCGGCGCCGCCTCTTAGTTCCGGAATCCGGTTCACTTCCAGCTCCAAAGAATTGTCGGTCTAGAAGCAAGAGCTCCGGAGCTAAGAGGCGGCGTCGCTTACGTCTCTCTTACGGCCCCTACACACGGCGGCGTGCGTTGACGCTTCAACGCTTCTGCCCATTCACTTTGAATGGGGTGACGTCACGCTTCGCCGAACTGCATTGTGGGAGCAAAGCGTAGCTTTTCTCGCGGTGCTCGCTGCAAAAGTAGAGCAATGTTCTACTTTTGAAGCTTCGACGGAGGCGTCAGCCAATCAAATCCTGCGTATGCAAATCTGCCAGTACAAGCGCTAGCCAATCAAACCGCGTGTATGCTGGGAGAGCCAGACCGCAGTTCATTTCCTCATATGCCAAAAAATGGAGGAGAAAATAATCGTAGCGGGTAGGGAATCACCCGGTGCTTTCAGTCTCTGTTCACCTACCGGGATACAAACCGGAGGAGCCAGGCATGGAGGGAGGGTGGCAGAGACAGTGGGTGAAACTTGTAGGTTTTCGCCTGTTTGGGGAGTTTATATCCAGTGTACTTCGTTTGAATGGACAGCTAGCAGGCATAGACAGTATTTAGCCAGCATGGACTGTTGCGTAAAATAGCACCATAGACATTAATGTCATAAATGTTCATCATATAAAGTGTGACATGTAAAACCTTTTATGCAATTGACAGCAGAGATTCATGTGATTGGTTGTTGGTCGCGTAAACTCCCCAAGCTCAAGACACGCCCACCGCCAAGCGGCAACGCACGCCGCCGTGTGTAGGCGGTGTTACGTCGAGGCGTGCAGGAAACTAAACCCACCTCCCCTGAACATGGGTCGACTGAAGAGTCTCGTCATGCCTGCCTACAAGCAGTAGTGCTGAGCAAAGTGACTAGAAGGCAACCACACACACTTATAAAAAAAAAAAACACACTTTATAAAGTCAGGCAACACTAACCAGGCTTCGTGTGATTCTGTTTATTTGTACCTTACTTTGACCATCCGTTCGCTGTTATTGATCATTGTGGAGAGCAGGCAGACGTTTTGTTTTGTATTATAGCAGCTATCGGATGGAATCAATACATGGGCTGCACAGGTTGTCATGTCCGACTATCACAAGTAGAATCATAATGAAAAATACGCCGGTAAAATGTGCCTGTAGAAAACGGCTTCGCAAGTAGTCAGTTTAGCTTCGGTTGCTATGCTAACATCACCCATGTTATACCAGAGAAACTTTCATAACAGCGTTGTGATGCCAAACAGCGTCAATTCAGACTGACACCAAACAGCGTCAATTCAGACTGACACACATTCACTTAAGGGAAACTGGGGATATGTATCAGCTGCTTGTGTGACAGTCAGACAGTGAATACTTTAGAGCCCTGTGAGCTAACCCGGAGCTAACGGGAGAATAAACTCCCGTGGAAGAGCAGCCAGCACTGCAGCGGTCGGTAAATTCCGCTGAAATACATTAATAAACAATGAACCACGGCACTCTGGAGAAAAGTATAAGGTTGGAGAAGTCGTTATTTAATTTAATCTGGCTTCGTATGATTAAAAAGCAACACGATCATCGACCCGACGCAGTCCCCTGTTGTTGTTGTTGTGAGCTCCGTTGGGGAGAAAATCAGCGATGTAAACGGTGACGTCATGACGCAGCAGCGGCAGCTCTGGGCGGTGTGAACAGAGCGGGAGCAGAAAAGGGAAACCGGAGCTGAACCAGAAAAGCTCTAGCTAGGAGCTAGAAAGGGAAAAGCGCTGGTGTGAAAGATGACTGTAAAAACTACACTGCGCATGCTCAGAGTATTTTCCTATTTAATGTGTGTGGCAAAAAAAAGAATGACCATAGGGGCACTGAGCTGACCATACGTCATCTCACATAATTCAGAGCTGATTGGCTGTAAGTACGTGTGCCGCGAAAAGTGTGGTGTGTGAAGAGGAGACGAGAGAGGTGCAGTGACGCGTCCTAAAACCCGGAAGTAAGCTGTGCATGGGTTCCCTCGACAAAAAAGCAATGAGATTTCTCCATAGGATTTTAGAAAATAGCTCGAAATAAGATCTGTGGGAAACGTACCTGTTAGATAAATGCACTTTTTGTTCAGCCGGATAATATCCACATGTCTACCCTACTTTTATAATTTTTTTATCATAAATCTATCGATTAGATTTATGATAGACTTTTGAAACTACAAGAAGATAAGGAGGACTTTTCCAAAAAAGTAAAAGACATTTTTGTCCAGAAGGATAGGCAAATGGACTTCATCTTCAAGTCAAGGTAAGACCGCAATTTTATTGAAAATGGGATCTTACCAAGAGAGAACAATTCAATATTTAAATGATAAAATTACATTTTTTTGGTATCCTTTTGTTGAACTGTCTGTTTAAAATTAATCGAAGCATCAGACAAAAAAAGCTTTTGAAAATATTATATTTTGGTTTAGGTCAAAATATAATATTTGTAAACCTGAAGAGTCAGTGCCAGTGCCTCACCAGCCATGAACCTCACTGCAGAAGCTTATATATAGACATCTAAGTTTTTTGTGCCCCACCACTTTTGTACATATAAAAACGCCACTGATAATGTGACATATTTTGCTTAATATTTGGAGTACAAAAACAATCCTGATATCATTAGAAAGCTAGGAATCTCCTTTTTCCAAAAGTGTATACAACTCAAAATGTGTCTTCGGGTCAATGCGACTGATTTCGATGGAGCAGGTCACATATACTCAGATCAATAGGAGACAGAGATGTTAAGTTATAATCAAGGGTTTTTATAATTATTATTTACAGCAGGGGTGGGGAACCTTTTTCCTCTCAAGGGCCATTTCAATGTTTACAACATCCTCCGAGGGCCCGTACAAATTATTGAACTCAACCTCTGCTTAAAAAAAACTAAAATCACAGCCCATAAATGTAGCTTTTCTTTCATTCTGTGCAAAGAAAAAGCAACCTCTTAATCCAGATATTTTACCATGACTCGTGCATGCATGCGGTGCACGGTTGTGGAATGACCACCAAAACAGAAAGATATGGACACAAGATGTGTGCAAATGTAATGTATGTATAGGGGGTGGACCTAACCTCCTCTAGGGGGGTCCGGGGGCATGCTCCCCCGGGAATTCTTTTTAAATGTTGAAGTTAAAAGCATCAATCTGGTGCACTTTGAGAGCAACATTAAGAGATCTATGGATACATCTCTCAACACCCATATGAAACAGAACTGTAAGCAGATTTTATTTTTCTTTATGGATATTTTACAAATCACTCCCCTTTCAAACTGTATTCTTGTTTATTAATAACAACTTTTTTGTTACTGTCATATAGTATTTTATACCTGTTTTTCATTTAGTCTCTTATTTTTTTATAACTATAATGATCATATCAAGGTGTGCCTTAACCTCACTGAGCTGAGGTTATTTGAGCCTCTCAGTCTGTCAGGAGAGAACAATCTTCCACCTGGTTGTAGAAAAAGCTCTTTATATTTGAATCGTTAGCATAGCTAGCTAACCAGATGCTAATAACAACAGATCGCCACTGGGCTTACAACTAAAAACAGCCACGCAAAAACTGCGGCATGTGTACAGCTCCTTATGGGTACTGCAATATTTGAAGAGATGGAGCGGCGTTCCGGTGCTCTCCGTCAGCACTCTACACGGTTAGTGCTAGATCGTATACCTCCTGGGTTTTACGCAGCCTACACATGGCGGTGTGCGTTGCCGCTTGGCGGTGGGCGTGTCTTGAGCTTGGGGAGTTTACGCGAGCAACGCGACCAACAACCAATCACATGAATCTCCCGTGTCTCTCCCCAAGGGCTGGAAAATTGAAGAAGTGACCAGACAGTCGGGTTTGTCAGCTGGAAAAAGCGATGTCTATTATTTTAGGTACTAAACGAACGGGGGCTTGCAAAACTTTTAGCTGCTGCAGGACACAAGAGTGTCACCCCATTCAAAGTGAATGGGCAGAAGCGTTGAAGCGTCAACGCACGCCGCTGTGTGTAGGGGCCGACAGGCGGCGGAAGTGACGTAATCGTGGATGAGAAGTCGGCAACTTTTGCAGCAACCGACAGCACATCTGGTAGTAAAAGTAGACACATTTATGGGGTCTTCGCGATCTGGAGTCCTGCAGGAATCCGGAGGACGCACTCAGTGGCTTTCTGAGTGTTAAATCTCATCTGTGCTTTTCTTCTTGTGAGATGTCATTTTTTTTAAATATTAGTAATAGCCTGCTGTCCTTCAAAGTTATGAATTCTCAAAATATTATATTTATGATATTTTTGTGGAAAAAGGATGTATTCATGCTCGTGTCTTGTCCTGGGTGGCAGGTTACGTTACTTGCACCTAAAACCCAGGAGGTATACGATCTAGCACTAACCCACTCTACACCATGGATGTATAATAAGAACTGGATACAGCGTGGGAGGCGGGGTCTCGTTCTTTCCTATGAGAGCTGCTCATTGGCGCAGGAAGACAAAATGGCCCAACTTTTGAGAGAGCGAAACGTCACAGATTACCCGTCATGCCTGGCTGTTAGAGCAGAAGAACCCGTATGTGTGTTCACAGAGCATGCGCCCCTTAAGCCCCGCCCCCCGAGCACCCACTCTCGGCTCACTAGAATGAATGGAGAGAGAAAATAAATCTAGATTCGGCTTTTAGTGCATTTTACTACTTTAAGGACCGAATTATTCTAATATGGGCTTTAAAATAGTTCATACTGGGTAGTTTATTTAGTTACAAAAAAATTATCCACCGATTTACAGACGTCTTTCCCAATGTTCGTCAATGGGAAAAAGTTGTAATGGGCCGGGTGACGTCACGGACTGATACGGAAATTGCAGTACTGCCGTTTGGACTAGCATATCGTTGACTTTTTTATGATACCGATACCAATACCGATACTCAACCGATACATATCGTGATACTTTCATGTTGCATAAGGGAAAAATGTAATCATCCTGCAATTACTCCCATGAAGCGCTTTATGATATAGTTAACATGTCAAATGAATATTCAATTCAATTGTGGGACTTGGACCTTTTAGTACTGAACAAACAATGAAAAACACGTTATCTATGAAGAAAACTGATTCTGCACTAGTGTTGTCACGATACCAACATTTTGGTTTCGATACCGATACCAAGTCAAGAATTGCGATTCCGATTCTTTTTCGATACTTTTCTTTTATTATTTTCATGATCAATAAAATTGTAGTTTATCTGTTAAGTGTTTTCTTACAACATGGTCTCTTCTTTATACTTGAGTTTATGTGATTTCTTTGATAGTTAACTTTATATTTTATTAACATGTAATAGTACAGTAATATAAATAATTATTGACAAAATGTACATTGCAGATGCAGAAAAGATAGCCATATTAGACAGTTATCATTGCCATTAATTGCCTCGTCAAACTACGAAAACGTTCGTTTGTCACAAAATAAATTACACTTGTTTGACTTAGATTTGAGGACATGGGCTTGAGCATGATGTAATTATGTTATCTATCACATTCGCTAACCTGTCTGTCTTTAAATTCTTTTAAACAGCTCTGGATGCCGGTCGGCGAGGTGCTTAGCCAAGTTTGATGTGTTGGCTCCCTTGGTTTGCGGGGATCTAAAACATTTCTTACAGACAGGCCTCGTGGTGTCCGTAGGCTTGCCCTCACTGTCAGAGATATAACTAAAATACTTCCAAATTTCGCTTCTGGCGTCTTTTTTGTCAACAAGCCGAGGCGCAGCGGCAGTTGCACTCCCACTTGCAGCCATGCTTCTTGTTTTCTCACATGCTCTGGCAGCTAGCGCGTGCACGAGAGAGGGGAGGCACTTAGAGCGTGCTTGAGAGGGGAGGGACTGCAGGCACGGCTGCAGTGCAGGGAGTGGAAGCAGAGCGCTGAACACACACGGCTCTTATTAAAACAGCGCTTTCTCACCGGAGTACTTTTCCCCGTCATTCTTAAAGTACCGATACTCATGAAACGGAGGAATCGTAACGTTTTTAACGGCAGGGTATCGCGGTACCTTTCAAGTATCGGTACACCGTGCAACACTATTCTGCACTATCATTTATATCAACCATCAGGCGTGAATAGTACATCTTGTCAATGGAAAAAGAAAATAGCACCAGTATAATCAATATTTAACCTGAGATTCGACTGACCAGAGAACACATAAAGGATCATGAGATCTCGGCATTGCACATAAAACAAATAGCATCATTAAAATCAACATTTGCCTGATGAAAGAAAACAAATCCCATCACAGTTCAGTTTTGTGCATTCATCTTCAAGAAGATTGAATCCAAACGGGCCCTTTCACAGCGTAGGATATCACCTGCTAAACTGAACACTCTCTCGCTTGGCACGCTGCTTCCCTGAACACAAAAGGCACTTGGTTGCTAGGGATGCTCCGATCGATCGGTCACCGATCGAGATCTGCCGATACTCACTCTCTACCGATCGAGATCTGCCGATACTCACTCTCTACCGATCAATGCTCTCTAAACATGCCGATCACGAGAGCCGATCGCATGACGTAAAATACATGACACTTTTCTCTGTGCGCAGCAAAACAAGCTCGCCAAAATGGCTTCACCGGTCTGGCATTATTTTAAGGTGTCCGAAAAAGACAGTAAAATAGCGGTATGCAACGTGTGTGTGAAGCAGAAATCCTGCAGCTCCACCCGCTGTGACGGACCTGTGAGCGGAGCGAAACACACAAGAGTTAGACCTAACACACTTAGCTATTTTATCTACCTCTGGAACAAGCTAAACTAGTTATACATATATTTATTCTTCACTGTCGGGTCACTCATTACTGGATCAGTGAGCTGCAGGAGATACTGACAGGCTGTCAGGAGAGAGAGAGGGGGAGAGAGGAAAAGAGAGCGCTTCCGCTAATTTCTCCCGTGGTATTATCCAAAGTGAATGTAAACTTGAATAATGTACATCATTTGAATGTAATAATTATATTTTGGTTTAGGTCAAAATATAATATTTGTAAACCTGAAGAGTCAGTGCCAGTGCCTCACCAGCCATGAACCTCACTGCAGAAGCTTATATATAGACATCTAAGTTTTTTGTGCCCCACCACTTTTGTACATATAAAAACGCCACTGATAATGTGACATATTTTGCTTAATATTTGGAGTACAAAAACAATCCTGATATCATTAGAAAGCTAGGAATCTCCTTTTTCCAAAAGTGTATACAACTCAAAATGTGTCTTCGGGTCAATGCGACTGATTTCGATGGAGCAGGTCACATATACTCAGTAATAATAATAATGTAATAATAAAAAAGAATATCCAATTACGAAATAGAAAACCGAATAGTAGGGCAACGACCGAATATTCGGATATTTGGGTACAGCCCTAGTGTGTTTACAAGAAATCTCCTAGGGGCATATTTGATGACTAAAAATGATTGGGTAAAATATTAGTTTCGATTGAATATCATTGACGTCTTACCTCCAGCACAACGCCAACAGCCTCTTCGAACATTGGCAGGACCTCCATGTTGCCCTCCTGCTCCATCAGACGGGCCTGGCAGATCCAGTATTTGGCAAACTTCTTGGACACAGCCGGCAGCCGTGAGAGGACCCCCTTCACCTGCTCCGGAGGGCAGCCCTGTGGACGAGAGGGGCATATCAGAAAAAGGTTAACCTATAAGAAATTAAGCCATATCCTACTTTATAAAGAAATAAAGTAAAGGGGTTTGAGGCTGTTTAACAGTCATCAGCCCTCTGTATAATAATAGCAGGTCTTTAGCCCGCCAAAAATGTTGGCTGTGAATGGCTTGCTTTTAAACAAGGCCGGACAAAGTAGTCCTTTTTTTTTTTTTTTTAATCCACCCCCACTTTAACATCTATTTTTAATAATTTCTCATAGAGCCTCATTCAAAGCCCATCAAACTAAGTCCATGCATATTTCCACCACCACATAACTTCCATGGGAATGTGCAGTGGGAGATTACATCGCCATTAAAGAAGGCCATGGAAACCAAAGAGAAGGAAATTCCTGCGCCGTGTACCTTTGCGAGCAATATGATGCAGTCAGCCAGGGATCTGTCCACGGCAGAGATGAGGGAATGGGCCTCGTCTTCCTCATTCATGGGGCCCCAGAAAGGCTGGTGCATGGCGACAGTGAGTCTGACCGCAGGTTTCACCGGCATCGGGGGACGCTTGTAGGAAATGCCCTTAGCTTCCCGCCATTCCTGCAGCTTTTTCCTTTAAATCAAACAATAGGGTAGGGTTAGATAACACATTTCATACTTCATTGGAAAGCACATAAAACAAGGGAAGAGGAATGACAGAAGTCCAAGGACAAATTAGGGGAAACTGGACTTTTACAAATTTAAAGGAACAGATCAGCCTTTTATGAAAATCATCTCCTTGTATAACTTGCTTAAGCATGCTGAGTCTGCTTTTATCTAGTTTCCGACTTCTATTTGACAAAACATAATAATATATATAGTTGTCAGGGGATACTTTCATATTGATGTGGATCAGTCATATTTTTGAGCGGCCTGTTGATGCTGTCAGATTGGTGTTGTGTCCACAGGATCGATTGACATCATAGTGTATGTGCATTTCAACACTATCATTCAAATAAGAATTATCACTAGCTCAGATTGGGTCGGGACATGGAAACATTAATGGGGATATCTTTAATCTTCCCATACCAGTTGATCTGAAATTGATCTCATCCCAAATTGATATTTTGATCTTTCTTTAGCTGTATTTGGCAGCCAAAAGTCATTCCCATGATAAAAATACATCATGTTAGTCATGTTTGTAACATCCAGAGAATTGTGACTAAAAAGTCTCTGTCCACTTGGGGTGGGCGGATCGATCCCAAAATATCGATACTTCCGATATTACGTTACGTTTCAAAATATCGATACTAGAGCCAATAGGATCGATACTTTTATACTTTTTTTCCCCCTCTCCTCTACTCGTCAATTTCATCAAAAACTATGTGCAGACGAACACAAGTATATGCGCTCTTATCTTCTCTCTCCACTGCTGTCCTCCTCTCCTCGAGGCTTGCGCACACGCAGCGTGCTCCTTGTCTGAACGCCGATTATCAAGCTGACTGACAGCAGCCAGCAGGGCAGGACAGCAGCAGCCAGCGACTCGCGAGTGCGACACACACACGCGCATGATGGCTGAGAGAAAGAGGAGCGTTGTGTGGAGCTATTTCACAACTGTCAATGAAAACTTAGCGAACTGTGATGTGTTTATTTGTTTATAAAAACTGTCCTGTCTTTAATCATGAAAATGAATTCAGATTTAGTCTATGATGCATTCAGCTCAAAAATCATGTCATGCAGCTCTCCCCTATATGAAAGTACATAAGAAGCTTTTAATTTTAAAAAGTATCAGTATCGGCAATACAGGCCCTGAAATACTTGGTATCGGACCAAATCCAGATTTTGTGGCATCGCCCACCCCTACTGTCCACCCACGCAGATGTTATCACTTGGGAAACAAAGAAAGTACACGCCCTGAGATGTAATCGGACAAACCGTTTGCTATATTTCTGTAAAAAGCTGTTGATTATGTTGTCAACACATATTCTACTTCCAGTCTTCACCCTTTGTTTTAATGTTTTATTATTTATTCCTTTATTGTGTTTTCTCAGATTATTTTTGCCTGGTGTGACATAAGGTAATGACAAAAAATGTAATCCCTGAATTACAAGAAAAGAGAATGTTTAATCGAACACTCAGGTTTAGCCCCGATGTAGTAAAAGTCTAACAGTACCCAGCTAACTGTACAAGTCATTGTTAAAATGCAGCCAAAAGGCCATTATCATCAAACGCAGTTAGTAGGATTTACAAAAAAAAGAGGTTTAACATAAGCACAGATTCAAGGGAAAGCTACTCTACATGAAGCAGGGCAAAACACCAAACAGGCATAGCTAGTTTTAAAACAAGGGGGGGTGACTTGAGATTTACTTACACCCACTGGTGAGCACTTGTTGAACAGGAGCCTTCAGTGAGGGTTGAGTTTACTAAACACAACCGACACATTATTTTCACTCCTCACTAAATGAACCTTTCCATTTGAGTAACACACATGAAGAACTGGGGTATTGCAGCCCTCCTGCCGCGAGAAAATATCAAAGTCATGAGCCATACTCTCACTGTCAACTACAGTATGGTAGTTTCATGATATAGATTTACAGGTCAGGTAGATTTACAGGTCATCGTACTATCCTACTTACATTCGTTCCTCCTGGGCAGCAGTCAGTTTTTTTCCCTCCGTCTGGGGAATGACCCTGACCGGGAACTTTGGAGTCTTCGTGAGTGTGGCCTGACTGGTGTGGCTGATGGTCCTACCAGCCCGTGGCACTGTCTGGGACACCACTGGAGCGCTTGTTCTTTTAAAACCTGCTTGTGGTGGAGGGGCATTTGCTGAAATGTGTCCCTTCTTATCATCTGTCTTTTTGCATGTCTTAGATTTCACTGCCAGCTCAGCCACAGCAGCTCTTGTAACCCCTATGACTGTAGGGGGGACGACTTTGCATTGTTGGCCCTTTCTTTGCCCCGTCTGTTTTGTGGACGTGACTGTAGGTTGACCACTCGATTTAACAGATTTTGACATCCCTACTCTCCCTTCTGGTCTAATAGCTGCGTATTTGGAGGAGGTGGACACTGATTTCAGTCCACATGACAGCTGAGTCTTATAAGATGGCGGTTTACCCAAAAGTGGTTTAGAGTTAGTCATGTTCTGATTTTGTACTCGAATCCCAGCTCTTGTTCTCTCTGTGTTATTTAGAGCAGTGGTAGGTAGTGTTCTCCTCTGAGCTAGGTCAGACCTCTGGGAAACAGAAACTGATGACGAGGTGCTGGATCTCACCTTGTTAGCAACAGAAGCTGTGGTGGCGGTGTTCGTATGAGCGGCTGTTGAAGAGGTGTGTGTTAAGTTCTGACTGTTTCTTGGCTGAATCACTGTAGGAATGAGTCCAGTTTTTGTTTTGACCATAGGGCCAAGACTCACCCTGACGCTGTTTGTCTTCATTTGACATGACCAGGTAGCATTCGAGCTGCCGCCAAATTTGCTGTTTGATTTTGTTACAGCTGTACTCTCTGAGTTTTTGGCTGAAGACGGTTTTCTGGTGTTTGGCTGCTTTTTGAGGTGGCTGGCTGCGATAAGGTTGAATTTGGAGGACACTGCGTTGTACGTTGTTGTCAGCACAGGGTTTTGTTTAGGTTTTGCCTGTGCAACGCCAGAGGTTGCAGATTGGCGATTGGTATTCTGTCGTACAGTCAGGATTTTGCCTTTTACATTCACGTTGTTTGCGATACCAAATGCACCTTTGGCCGGATGTTTTGCAGATTGAGTGTTTTGAGTTTTTGTACTTTCATATCTTAATCTGTCAGCAGGAGCCTTGTTCTCTTTTCCATTAACAACCTGTAAAACAACAAAATGAATAGAAAAAACAATAGTGAGGCATGGATGATAGCCAAGTCAGCCCCAAATATTCAAATAATTTAATTTAATTTAAAAGAGGCAAATAAGGGTTTGATTCTGTTGGAATAAGTGGGGTTGCAATTTCACCAACAAGGTAAAGTCAGCCACAAATAAAGGTTCAAATCATTGATTTTAATTTAAACGAGGCAAATAAGGGTTTGGATTATTATGGGATGAGTAGTTGGAATTTCCCCAACAAGTTAAATAAACAATCTCCTACACTCACCTGTGTAGACATGATAGGAATCTTAACTTGACAGCCATCTCGGAGGTATGGCCTGTGAAGTCAAATTTAGTTCATCATGTATCAAAGAAATAAAAATAACATTTTAACAATGAATACATTGTTAGTCTTGCACTGTTGTTTCTCTTACTTAGGGTTGGGCTGTTTCAGCTTTCCTTTTCCTGCCAAGTATTCCATCAGCTTCTGCTTACGCAGCTCTGTGAGAAAACAAATTACACAGGAATTCAGCATTGGTCTCGTTCCATTATACTCAACCTCTACATTTATTCCATATTAAATATGCATGTGTAGTGTTTGAACCAAAAATATGAAGGCCACATACTGTAGCATTAAATATATATGTCTGCATACATAAGAATAATGTATGTCTTGAAATTATCGGTATGCCCACTAATGTTAGAAATGTATGTGTTTATATTTTTTTTAATATATTGGGATCTCAGTGACTCTACCTGTAAAGACCTGTGTGAACTTTAACTTTCACCAAACGTGCAAAATAGGAACTGAGTAGGCACTTGCTGCCATCTGGCTGCAGGTCGGTAATAATAAACCTAAATGTTCACTCTAGTGAAATATCTACATTTTCTGCAGCATACTAAAGCTTAAACAATTGGTTAATTTATTTGATTAGCTGAACATCAGATACCTAGTTTACAATCTGATTATAACATATTGAACAGAGGATTTATATAGAAAAGAATGAGAACAATAATCTATGATACAAAATAACATTATTTTTCTCTGAAAATCACTAAATCCAGCCTAACTATAAGCAGCGTTGCCCTTTATTTGCACTAACAACCCATTTTTTTATTTAGTCAAATGATGTTACATGTTCCTTTTATTTTAGGCACTATTACATGCCTGTGCATTTCTTACAGACACACTAGTCTTATAATTTAATCACGATTCGATCACGGGGGGGGGGGTTGCTTTTTACGGCAGGCCACAATATGCACCCCTTGCTATCTTAAAAGGGTCACATACATGAAACTCGCTCCATTTATTGGTACTAGTCCTACAACTATACCCTCAAATATGCATGAGGGTGGGATTAATAGAAACATCTTTTTTGGGGGGGTGCATTTTACGGCAGGCCTGGTTGCCACGATATGCACCCCCTTGCTATCTCTGACAATAAACGTGTCACATACATGAAACTTGCTCCATTTATTGGTACTAGTCCTACAACTATACCCTAAAAAATGCTTGCGGGTGGGATTAATATAAACATATTTTTTGGGGGGGTGCATTTTACGGCAGGCCTGGTTCCCACGATATGAACCCCTTGCTATCTCTGACAATAAACGTGTCACATAAATGAAACTTGCTCCATTTATTGGTACTAGTTAGGGCTGTGCAATTAAATCGTATTTTAATCGCAATTACGATTTTGGCCTGCCACAATTACGAAAACAACATAATCGAAAAAAAATATTATTTTGCTTTGCTAGGTTGTGACAGTGCACTGCAACATATTTGATCTAATTAATTTGTCTCATTTATCTTATTTATATATGTTTAGTAGCTTGTGGAAGTGCGCTCCAAAATATTTGTTGATCTTGTTTATTGGAATTTATTATTTTGATATTATTTATTTAAATGTATCATTTATTGGTTTTTCAGTTGAATTATACGTTCAGGGTAATCAACAGTTAAAAAAGATACTGTTCAAATTATTATTTGTATTTGTTTTAAAGTTCAATAAATGGATTTTTTCAAAGTCAATGAATAATCGTATTTAATAATCGTGATATCAATTATTGACCCAAATAATCGTGATTATGATTTTTGCCATAATCGCAGTGCTTGAGGGTGGGATTAATAGATGCATCTTTTTGGGGGGGGGTGCATTTTACGGCGGGGGTGCATAATTCGGCACAACTCAAGCATTTTTGGTTTCAATATGTATTGTGTGCTATACTGATAATAACGACACACTCTATCTTACTCTCACGTACTTTACTTGTAATGTTCCACAAGATACAATGCAACATCCTAGCCGTGCTAACTTCAGAACTGACGCTCATGCCTGGTCCCTCGGCTCATGTCGTCCCCTCGGGCTACCTGTGCGTCAACAAATAATGTCCCCCTGACCAACGTATATTGCAACACCCCAACCATCAAAATACGAAGCGAAAAGTTTAACCACAAGAATCAAGACTATATGAGCTACCACTAAACGACTCAGTCTGAAAATTACCCTGGACGTTTACTTTTAGTTTTAAGCATCGTTTTGAGGTGTAAACGTTTCATTTTAAAATGCGCATAATTTGGCACAACACCGGTTTGTAATTCTTTTTACCAAATCACGTACGTAATAAAACGCAATGCATACTTATAGCACCTTAACGTATATGGCTTTGTTTATCATTATATGTAACACAAGTGCAGTATCATCTTAAATCCATATTACTACCCTAACGCTACGCATTTGATCTTCAACAAGACTAATGTAAAGCCTCAAATGACACATATGCAGGGCCACCAAACTATCACCATGAGGTTCATTTATTTAGCTGGACAAGGAAATGTTTGCTCGCTTACATGCTAAGACAACACTAAGCTAATGTTTGCTACAAACACTACCATGGGTTAGCTTACACAGGGCAGCTAACCCTAACACACTTAATTAGCTCACAATGCTAACCTTTTCTGGAAGGTATCGATACGGTCTCTCCTTCTTCCATTTCTATCAGACTCCTCAGCAGATTTGATAGGAAAATGGCTCGTTGGACGTGTGTAGTTGTGAATGTACGTTATAGCAAAAATGCTCAGTAACGTCTCTGGTTAAATTAACGTTAGCTTCATAACAACTGAGCTCGCGGATCCAGGTTTGAAACTGCCGCAACTGAACGCCTACTCTTCTCTGATTGGACGATTTGAAATTTGAAATAAGTACCACGCATGTGCATAACCCCAGCGCTGATTGGAGCAGAAAATGTAAACAAAAAGTACAATGTAGAATATACCAGAAATACCCTGTTTAAATTAAACTCTTGCAGTAAAACAGTGTAATTTATTATTGGATTATAACTGTTGAAGCATTCATGCGATCATCACAGCACTTGGTACAGGTGGATCTTATTTTAAGTAGATTAAGTGGCAGATAAGAAGAAAAAAGTAGCATAAAATGGAAACAGTAGGCTACATTTGTTTATAATAGTTAATATCATAGACTATATATATGGTTAATATATAATACAAAATGCGTATATCTACTGATGCATCGGTTTTTAATCAGGGAAAACGCCGTTAGACGTATTAAGGTTGTTTACTGTATACAAAATAATCAAAGTTAATGTTACAAAACAGGAAATAAAAATACTAAAGTTAAGTAGGCTACCTTAATTTTTTTTAATATACAGGAGTCTCTTGCCAAATATCGAAGATGCCATTTGTGATATGAATGAGAGGAGACTACAACCCAAAATCAGCTTAGAATTACTGCATTGGAATTGAACTACAGCTGATGTCTGTTGTGAATGCCTTTATCATAAACCAAACACTGATTGAACATATAAAACACACATTCTAATAAGTTATAAGGCTTTATTAAATATTTCACAGTACACAATTTAAATACTTGTTAGTTACCATTCTTTCAAATAAATACACATTTTGAAATGGTGCATAAATAATAAATAATTAGATAAAAAAGCATTAACAGTGCATCATGTTAATCAGCAAAATAAATACATAGGGTGTTCACCAGATAGCACAATAATGCCACCTTCTGGTGAAACATGACTTTTGTCAGTACACTAAGCTTTTCACTTTGTGTACTTGGTACATACAGTAAAGAGACTTTCTAAAAATCATTGCTTTTTTTAAATCAAAAAGTGCAGTGTAATTTACACTATCCACATTTTCCTCTTAAGAGGGTCAATCTAGACTGCCAGTTTCTTTGGTAGGTTTTTAACTCTGACGTTCAACATTTCCTTGGATGTCACCAATGTTGAAGGAGCGGTAGCGTTTGGCGGTCTCCTGGCACATTTGCACCGGCTTGTTGTTTTGCTCTGCTGTGCTGATGTACCAGTCGGGTTGAGCGACAGACATGAGGGTGCTGATGTTTACCCCGGTGTCCTTTTTGTAGAAGAGAAATCGCACCATGGCGCTGTCTGAGCTGATGTTCGACAGACTGTCATCCAATGGCTGAGGTGTGAAAAGATAGAAGAATGTCAGAAGGTTGACTATCACTTCAGACAAAATTACTAGCTCAAAAAGTAAATTCATGTACAAATGTGCTGCTTTTCTTTCAGGTGTTTGCAATCCAGGCCATATTGGAACTATTTCCCATTATTATTACAAAGGGAGTAATCTTTATGTGAGATTTATGTAATAATTCATGAGTTTTACCTCCAGATGCAAGGTTGGACTGTCACCATCCTTACGGCATGACAGGTACAGACTTTGCCCCCTGATGCCCAGAGCCACAGTTCTGCCCTCAATGGTGGATGCAGGGTGCAAAAAGGTCGACATGTTCAGGAAAACTGAGGAGAGAACACAAGATACAGGTTCACTTTGATGAAAGCGGAACAACCATGTCACCTTCTGTCATGCAGGAGGAACATGTACAGCAGCAATAAGACAAGGCATCAAGCAGGTTAATGATTTATACATTTAAAGTTAACATTTGTATACAATAAAATCAGTTACACCAGTCTAGTGAAACTGCTGCTTAATATTTCTAATACATTTCAAAGGGAAGTGGGTAATGGTTCTCCACCTTGTGACCTCCTTTTAAAGGCTTAAAGTAAGATGATTAGTTAGGAACACTATCTCTATATATAAAATAGAGAAGGATAATCTTACTTTCCAATCAAACTGTCACAAGTAATCACCTTTTCTGGGTTCATTGCCTCCCTGCAGCGTCACTGCATGGAGCTCCATGCTGTTTTCGACCATAACTAAGCTCCTCTTCTCGCCGTCGGTTATGTTTTGAGGTTCTTCGCCCGTCCGTGTGATCTGAGCTGGTGGAGCAGAGGCACGCTCGAACACAATTTTCTCTGTGGGGAAGGAAAAGTTACACACTTGATTAGTTATGTTGCTGTTGTGATCTCATTGTGAAGGAGAAATAACTGCCAGAGAGTTGTTATTTTCCTGTTTTAAAAAGACATTAATGAATAATGTACTGCTGCTTAGCATACATTATATAATACAGTATGCATGTACAGACTTTAAATACAGCTATAGATAAACTCAGTGTTGGATGTCCTACTATTATAAGTGAGTTAAAAGAGCAAATAAATGAAAAAAAAGTCTGTATGGATGTAGGTGTTCAAGTTATTTAAAAATGATAAACATTGTGTGTAAAGGCCAACAAGATGTCAGATGTTCACTCCATGAATGGATTAGATGACAGCATTTCTGTTTTTATATATACAGATTCACTGTGGGTAGCGCACATTTAAACCTCTATGCTAACAGAGAAAAAAAGCCCACACATTTTGTTAAGGGATACCGTGAAATAAAGCCAGTTTTATTACCTTCCACTATGCTATCCATGATGAAGTTGAGCAGGTTTTCATCTCTGAATTCAGTGCTCAGCGTTGATTCTGAGCCCTTCATCCTCTCCATGGCGATGATGAGGTTGACCACTTTCCTCATTGTCAGGGGATGATGGGTAATCTCAAAGTCCAGCCCCGACTGCACATCGGAGCTCCACATCTGGCTCATGTTGCATTTCATCTCGAATTCCATATTTTTTTCTGATTGAAGATCAGGAGGACAGAGAGATGTTTAAATGTCACTCAATCACACCGCATAATCAACATGTTTACATTACATTACATGTTTACAGCTTCATTTTGCCAGTTTTATCTAATATTATTCTGTATCTTAAATTTGATTATATACCCATTCACTTCCTTGTTTAGCTACAGTACACCTATATAAACACTTTTGCTGTTTTAGCAGTTTGTTACACTAGGTATTTTAAAGAGAGTATCAAAGAAACCAAAGCAAATATCCTGTTTAAAATCTTCTCAAGATTGAAAGAGAAAAATATGCCAAGAAAAGCCATTTACCTGTTAAGGTCAATATAGAAGTTGTTTTTAGTATATGGTTAAGATCCCAGCAGTTGCCTGTTGTTGGTGTTCTGTCTGTCTGTGGTGATCTGCATGGCTTTATACACTGTCGAGGTAATTTCCCCTCCGCATAAGGAAGTGGGATGGTCTTTCTATGCGCTCACTGTGACATGTGTGATGAAATACTGTACTTGCACACCTTCTGCTCAGGCTTAGTGTGATTGTGACACACACACACACACATTGAGCTATAAGCTTGATAACACTATTGCACATGTTGAATAAGGAATCAGAGTGGTAATACAGCCTACTTTCTAACATTTAGTACATAATTGAATGCAGTAATAACAAGTGTGTTGTCTATTAAAGAATATTTTTATGTTTAAATTCTGGAAAACAAACATCTCACCAGCTAACCCCCCTACCATGTTTTATTCAAATAATTTTCATTGAAGTTTACTGCATGTTTTTTTAGATTGTAAATTGGACTCAAACACCAATGAATCACATTGAATAAAAAAGATGAATGAAGTACACCTGAGTAGAACTGCCAAACATGCAACATCTAAAGCTTGAAAAACAGATTCAACAATAAAATAGAGTTATCATGGGTTCACATTCATTCAAAATACATCTTGGTGTTTTTTCTCAATCAAATTACACACAAGACTCAAAAACAAATCTTTTCCTTTTATAAACAATATTTGTATTTAATACGCACATAAAATCTGAAGGAATAATTGACGGAAAATTCACCAACAGTCACTGACTACAGCATCATGACCCTGCTCCATCACAGGTCACAGGGTCCTCAGGTAATCTAATATGAATGTGCCATCTGATAATAATTAGTGTAGAAGATTTAAAGTTTGGGGACAATGCTGGAAATATGAAGTAGAACCTGGATATTGCTACTTATGGACAGTATTCCTTTACACCTAGTTAAATAGTGTCAAGTCTTATTGTGTGATCTTCTGCTAAAATCGCAGGTTAATTTATGTACAATATGCTTGTTTGTTTGTACAAATTTGCAAGTTTCTGATGAATAAATAAATAAATAGTAGTCTAAGCCTACAAATTGTATTTATGTTACAGGCAGCACTTACATTTCTTTGTATAATTTTGTGAAGTGACTCAGTATTGTTTTTCTTGCTGGTTTGTCCGTACAAATAAACAAAATGTTAAAATGGTTAAAATGCTGGATTGTTGTATTACTTAGGAATTGCCAGTTGGTATCATTCTTCTCATCTAACTAAGGATATTTCCAAAAATCAATTATCCGACCAACCAAAACATCTTGCTCCAAAGTGTTAAAGATGACGATAAATCAGTAAAGGTTTGTGGTAATTGTGTGTCATTAGTGTGTGGCCAGTGGGTTTTCATGTTTAAACAATATGAACGTCTTTGAGCAGGGTTTTGTGGTCCTTTCCATGTGAACAAATATTCCACCAGCCATAGTAGACTTGCTTATTGTTTAGAATTACATAACAGCGGCTCAATCTCACATTTCATCACTTCCCTGTTGTGATGCAAGGGGAAGCTGCGTCACCCACGCAGGCCCGGTTCCAGAACAAAATGACTCAGGGTGCATCTGAGATTAGAGAGGGTGCAGTGGTAAAAGAAGATTTCTTTTGAAATATTGAAGTTAAAAGCATCAATCTGGTGCACTTTGAGAGCAAAATGAAGAGATCTATGGATCTATGTGCTCTTTGCTTGATTCATGCCTTCCCAGTCCCTTTTCACGTACAAGAGCATGGCGCCAGTTGTTGTAGCCAGTTGTGGTGAAGGCATCTGACTTACTTGAACCGAAATGTCTACATGC